GGCAAAACAACAAAACTCAAAAAAACCCCAACGAAACTTAACCAAAATTCCCATGCCCATAACACAACCCACAAGGTACAAACATATCTACTCAAAATGAAAAACAACACAACAACACACCACAAAACGGCAAAACAACAAAACTCAAAAAAACCCCAACGAAACTTAACCAAAATTCCCATGCCCATAACACAACCCACAAGGTACAAACATATCTACTCAAAATGAAAAACAACACAACAACACACTCACAAAACGGCAAAACAACTGAGCATGCGCATTGATGCCCAGCCGCAAGTTCCCTGGCGCGCACACACAGTCTTCCGGCCAACGTTCCCTCTGTGGAAGCCACGCCCACTCCAAGCCCCGCCGCACCGCTTCCCGCACACACACACTCCCTGCCGCACGCACACACACAACCCCACGCTCCATCACTCCCCCCGCCGCACACACACACGCAACCCCACGCTCCATCACTCCCCCCACCGCCACACACACATGCGCAACCCCACTCCCCCCCCCCGCTGCCGCACACACACACGCAACCCCACTCCCCCCACCGCCGCACACACACACGCAACCCCACGCTCCATCACTCCCCCCCGCCGCACACACACACGCAACCCCACGCTCCATCACTCCCCCCGCCGCCGCACACACACACGCAACCCCACGCTCCATCCCTCCCCCCACCGCCGCACACACACGCAACCCCAAACCCCACCCCGCCCCTTCCCGCCCTGTCAAAATCCAGGAAAGACAGGAAGGAAGGAAAGAAGGAAGAAAGAGAAAGGGAGGTAAAGAAAAAGGGGGAAGGAAGGAAAGTTAGAGAAAGGCAAAGGAAGAAAGGGGGAGGAAGAAAAGGAAAGATGGAAAGAAAGAAAAGAGAGACAGCAGAAGAGAAAGAAAAAGGGGGAAGGAAGGAAAGAGGTAGAGAAGGAAGAAATGAGAGACAGAGGGAGGGAAAGAAAAAGGGGTAAGGAAGGAAGGAGAGAAGGAAAGGAAAAAGGGAATGAAGGAAGGAAAGAGGGAGTGAAGGAAGGGCGAAGATGTAGAGAAAGAGGGAGGGAAGGAAAGAAGGAAAGAAAGAAGGAAGAAAAGAGACCAGAAGAGAAAGAAAAAGGGGGAAGGAAGGAAGGAGAGAAGAAAAAAGGGAATGAAGGAAGGAAAGAGGGAGTGAAGGAAGGGGGAAGATGTAGAGAAAGAGGGAGGGAAGGAAAGAAGGAAAGAGAGAAGGAAGAAAAGAGACCAGAAGAGAAAGAAAAAGGGGGAAGGAAGGAAGGAGAGAAGGAAAGAAAAAAGGGAATGAAGGAAGGAAAGAGGGAGTGAAGGAAGGGCGAAGATGTAGAGAAAGAGGGAGGGAAGGAAAGAAGGAAAGAGAGAAGGAAGAAAAGAGACCAGAAGAGAAAGAAAAAGGGGGGGAAGGAAGGAAAGAGATAGAGAAGGAAGAGGAGAAGGAAAGATGGGAGGGAAGGAAGGAGGGAAGGAGTGAAAGAAGGAGAGAAAGAGGGAAGGTTGGCCACAGCAACGCGTGGCGGGTAAAGGTTGTTATTTCTATGATTATTATGATGCTATTCCTATGAGACCCTTTTAGGGGGAATGGGAGAGGTGTCAGGTCCCAGAGGCAATGCATTGCATTATTGTTATTGTTATGATGGTGGTGAAATAAAAGGAAATAAAAAGTGAAAGAAGGAAGCAAACAGGGAGGGAAGAAAGGCAAAGGAAGGAAGGGGGAGGGAATGAAGGAAAGAGAGAAGGATGAAACCAAGTAGTGAAAGAAGGAAAGAAAGAAAGAGGTAGAGAAGGAAGAAAGGAGAGAAAGGGGGAGGAAAAGGGGGAAGGAATAGGTAGGTACCTCTCTTTCATAATAGTCCAGATATCTACCTCAACTTTGATAAGTTTTACTGTAAGCATCCTCAGAGGTAGTGAGGTCTGTTGGAAATAGGAAAATGGGTTTATATATCTGTGGAATGACTGGGGTGGGGCAAGGAGCTCTTCTCTGCTGGAGCTAGTGTGAATGTTTCAGCTGACCACCTTCATTAGCATTTGAAGGCCTGTCTGAGCCTGGGAAAATGTTTTGTTGAGAGGTGTTAATGTGCCTGATTGTTTACTCTCTGTTGTTTTGCTGTTGTAATTTTTGAGTTTTTTAATACTGGTAGCCAGATTTTGTTCATTTTTATGGTTTCTCCCTTTCTGTTGAAATTGTTCACATGCTTGTGGATTTCAGGCATTCGACGAGTGAGCCAACACCCTGAGATATGGATGGAGGATGAGGAGCAACGATTTTAGTGTGACGACTGACCATTATAGTTATTGATTGTAATTGCTGTTTTAATGTTTTACTGTAATATGTATTATGATGTTTTATTGATTGTATGTGATATTATGGTTGGAATCGGTCTCTCAAGAGAGGTGAGAAGGCCGGTATACAAAACTTTTATATATATATATATATATAGAGAGAGAGAGAGAGAGAGAGAGAGAGAGAGAGAGAGAGCAAACTGATATATGATATAGGATTTGCAAGATCATAACATCTATCTATCATATAATATATAATATATAATATATATATATATATATATATATATATATATATATAGCAAACCCTTGGGTACGGATGTTATGATCTTGCAAATCATATATCTTTTTGCAACATATATATATGAGATAGTAACATCCATCTATTATAGATACACACACATATATATTGCAAACTGATATATGATTTGCAAGATCATAACATCTATCTATCATATATATATGTGTGTGTGTGTGTGTGTATGTATGTATGTATATATATTGGAAACCCTTGGGTATGGATGTTATGATCTTGCAAATCATACACCATATATTTGTTTGCAACATATATTTATATATATGATAGTAATATCCATCTATCAGACATATATATATAGAGAGAGAGCAAACTGATATATGATATATGATTTGCAAGATCATAACATCTATCTATCATATATTGCAAACCCTCCTGTATGGATGTTGTGATCTTGCAATTCATAGACACACACACATTGCAAACTGATATATATGATTTGCAAGATCATAATATCCATACTCAAGGGCTTTCTTATTTCTCGTGCAAGAGACACACAGTTTGGGAATATTTGTTAAGTAGCATAGAATTAATGCGAGCAGTTTGACACTTTTTAAAATGATCATCGTTCAATGCCAGGGATTTATTTATTTATCGTGTCAGTGCAACCAGTCGATTATATTATATTTCTAACAGAACAAAGCAAAAAAAAAACAAAAACCAGACAAAATATGAAAATTGTGAGTTTGGTAATTGATTAAATGTCCTTTCACCAGTATCTGGCCACTTGGAGTGCTTCTGGTGTTGCTGCAAGAAGGTCCTCCATTGTGCATGTGGCAGGGCTCAGGTTGCATTGCAGCAGGTGGTCAGTGGTTTGCTCCTCTCCACACTCGCATGTCGTGGATTCCACTTTGTGGCCCATTTCTGAAGGTTGGCTCTGCATCTCGTGGTGCCAGAGCACAGTCTGTTCAGCGCCTTCCAAGTCGCCCAGTCCTCTGTGTGCCCAGGGGGGAGTCTCTCATTTGGTATCAGCCATTGATTGAGGTTCTGGGTTTGAGCCTGCCACTTTTGGACTCTCGCTTGCTGAGGTGTTCCAGCGAGTGTCTCTGTAGATCTTAAAAAACTATTTCTTGATTTAAGTCATTGACGTGCTGGCTGATACCCAAACAGGGGATGAGCTGGAGATGTCTCTGCCTTGGTCCTTTCACTATTGGCTGCTACTTCCCGGCAGATGTCAGGTGGTGCAATACCGGCTAAGCAGTGTAATTTCTCCAGTGGTGTAGGGCGCAGACACCCCGTGATAATGTGGCATGTCTCATTAAGAGCCACATCCACTGTTTTAGCGTGGTGAGATGTGTTCCACACCGGGCATGCATACTCAGCAGCAGAGTAGCATAGCAAAGGGCAGATGTCTTCACTGTGTCTGGTTGTGATCCCCAGGTTGTGCCAGTCAGCTTTCGTATGATATTGTTTCTAGCACCCACTTTTTGCTTGATGTTCAGGCAGTGCTTCTTGTAGGTAAGAGCACGGTCCAGAGTGACTCCCAGGTATTTGGGTGTGCTGCAATGCTCCAGTGGGATTCCTTCCCAGGTAATAATCCTCAGAGCTCGGGATGCTTGTCTGTTCTTGAGATGAAAGACGCATGTCTGTGTTTTAGATGGATTAGGGATCAGCTGGTTTTCCCTGTAATAGGCAGTAAGAGCACCTAGAGCTTTGGAGAGCTTCTGTTCAACCCTCTCAAAGCTCAGTTCTTGTGGGTTTTTTTGGGCTGACCACCTTGATTAGCATTTGATGGCCTGGCATTTGATGGACAAGGACATCTAATCACCTCTCAACAAAAGATTGCCCCAGGCACTGTCAGGCCATCAAATGCTAATCAAGGTGGTCAGATGAAACATTCACACCTAGCTCCAGCAGACAAGAGTCCTTTGTCTCACCCTGGTCATTCCACAGATATATAAACCCCTTTTTCCAGCTCCAGCAGACCTCACCTCTGAGGATGCTTGCCATAGATGCAGGCGAAACGTCAGGAGAAATGCCTCTAGAACATGGCCATATAGCCCAAAAAACCCCACAAGAACTGAGTGATTCCAGCTATGAAAGCCTTCGACAATACATCTCAAAGCTCCCTGCTTGAGCGGTGATGGCACGATCATCAGCATAGATGAAACTCTCTGTTCCTTCTGGCAGTGGCTGGTCATTTGTGTAGATGTTGAACAGGGAATTCCAGGGAATCCTGCGAGTTGTAGTGTAACCACCAGGCCTTTAGAATCCTTCTCCCCACGCTACAACAACTCCCACCAAGAAAGTTGAGCCTGCGAACTGAACCCGGAAGTGGCGTGTACAAACCTTTGTTCAGCTCTGCCTCTTTGATCTTCCGCAAGTCTCCGTGCCTGGGTGTGACGTCAGTTTCCGGCGCGTTGGCGGCAGGCGTGACACGTCATCCGTGCGCGCGAGCGGCCGGGACCCGGAAGTGGAGGATGGTGGAGGTGCTGCGAGTTGCCCGGTGCAGCCAGGAAGGAGGCCAGCGAGGTAAAAAGGAGGCCTTGTGGGAAAGGGGAGCCTCGAAGCCCCACAGAAGGCTCCTGGCTTGCCTGGAAGGCCTTTATCCTCAGGAATCCACAGCATGGAGCCATGGGGGCTTAAAGTGGTGCCAAACCGCATTAATTCAACAGTGTAGATAGAATCATAGAATGAAAGAGTTGGAAGAGACCTCCTGGGCCATCCAGTCCCACCCCATTCTGCCAAGAAGTAGGAACATTGCATTCAAATCACCCCTGACAGATGGCCATCCAGCCTCTGTTTAAAAGCTTCCAAAGAAGGAGCCTCCACCACACTCCGGGGCAGAGAGTTCCACTGCTGAAAGGCTCTCACAGTCAGGAAGTTCTTCCTCATGTTCAGATGGAATCTCCTCTCTTGTAGTTGGAAGCCATTGTTCCTTGCTCCTAGTCTCCAGGGAAGCAGAAAACAAGCTTGCTCCCTCCTCCCTGTGGCTTCCTCTCACATATTTATACATGGCTATCATATCTCCTCTCAGCCTTCTCTTCTTCAGGCTAAACATGCCCAGCTCCTTAAGCCGCTCCTCATAGGGATTGTTCTCCAGACCCTTGATCATTTTAGTCGCCCTCCTCTGGACACATTCCAGCTTGTCAATATCTCTCTTGAATTGTGGTGCCCAGAATTGGACACAATATTCCAGGTGTGGTCTAACCAAAGCGGAATAGAGCATGGGGAGCATGACTTCCCTAGATCTAGACACTATGCTCCTTGATGCAGGACAAAATCCCATTGGCTTTTTTTGCCGCCACATCACAATGTTGGCTCATATTTAACTTGTTGTCCACGAGGACTCTAAGATCTTTTTCACACGTCCTGCTCTCGAGCCAGGCATCTCCGATGCACTCAGTGAGGATCCCAACTACTTCTGGGCATAAAAAGGTTGCCAGAGCTAGGCCCCTTCTACACTGCCATATATAATCCGGATGATCTGCTTTGAACTGGATTATATGTCAGTATAGAGTTGGATAATCCAGTTGAAAACACATAATATATTTAGAATAATACTAGCTGTCCCCTGCCACGCGTTGCTGTGGCCCAGTCTGTTGATCTGGAAAATAAAGTAATGAGAAAGTGTTGGTTTCTAATCTATGTAATTTCTTTCTGCTTGTGGGTCAACAGTATTTCTTGCTGTTTCTTTGTCAGTGTTGATGTGGAGAGGGTCTGGTTTGCCAACCCTGGAACATGCAACATACCATTGTCCTTCTTTAAGGGTCCCTTTCACATCTATGATACTATATCACTCTGTGTGTGAATCATATCTATCTATCTATGGATGGATGGGTCTTTGTCAGGAAGACTTCTTGCCCTGATGAAGGGAGTTGGATTGGATGGCCTTAAGTATTGTTGGTCATGGGGGTTCTGTGTGGTAAGTTTGCCCCGATTCTGTCCTTTGATTGTAGGTGAACTGCGAATCCCAGTGACTACAACTCCCAAATGTCAAGGTCTATTTCCCCCAAACTCCATCTGTGTTCATATTTGGGTGTATTGAGTGCTTGTGCCAAGTTTGGTCCAGATCCATCATTGTTTGAGTCCACAGTGATCTCTGGATGTAGGTGAACTACAACTCCAAAACTCAAGGTCAGTGCCTACCAAACCCTTCCAAATTTTCTGTCCATCATGGGAGTTCTGTGTGCCAAGTTTGGTTCAATTCCATCATTGATGGAGTTCAGAATGCTCTTTGATTGTAGGTGAACTATAAATCCCAGCAACTACAACTCCCAAATGATAAAATCATAATGTTTTGAGTGATGGTCACTCCTTATGTTGTGAGACGTTTTGTTGCCAAATTTGGTGTGATTTCGTTCATTGGTTCTATTGTTTTTAAGGTACTCATTATGCACAGATCATTTATATATATCCCTTCTGGTCTATGGACTGCTACATTTGACATGGTAACATTTCTCTAAACAATGCCATTTTCCATTGCCTTCTCTAGTAATGCTATTGTTGACGTCAGGTTGGGATGCATCCACTTAAACACCCAAAGAAAGAGGTCAGTTATGTAAGCTTGTCTGAAATACGACAAAAGTGAAAACAACTTTAAATGTAAAATATAATCAGCCATTTTCCCATTATGTATTGTATAGTTATTCCTACATATAAGCAGAACTGATGTAATTAATATGTTGCATGTATCAGTATGTGTGTGATGAAAAGTTTAGGTTTTCCAGGAGGTTCACATACACATCTTGACCATGTTGTTCCATCACTTTGTGTCTCATGGTATAGGAAGATATTCTGAATTCACTCCAGATTGAATTCAGATTTAAATAGGTTTCCTTTTGAGTGGGAGAAGCTGTAGCCTGCCATGGTGGTTGGACTATAAGGAGATCGAGACATTCAGTATTCAAAGGAAGGACAGAATAAAGCAATACAGAATGCTCATCATTGTTCTCATTATTGTCATGCACAGTTTATGTGGTTCCAAAGGCCAGATAACCACTGTAAGTGTGCTGCACATTTGATTGATCTAATTTGGCCCAGCAGTTCCAAATTCTGGGCCTCTTTCACTAGCCTGGCCTCTCCCACCCCAAACCCCTCGCTAGATTTTGTAATTCCTGGAAGAGGGGCTGTGTTATTGAGCAGGTTCACTATGGTAAGCATTAGGCATGTGCAATCCATTGTTCTAAATGGTTCTAAAGTACTTACAAAACTAAAGTTCAAAATTTCATTATAAATGGCAGTTCCTAATAGGTTTTGTCATAAAAGTCACCAATAATAAAATATTAATGAAATTTTGAAAGTTTTGTTAGAATTCTTTAATTTTCACCACCAGAACTTTAGCAAAACTGTAGAAGCAAAGCACCAGCGCCACCTAGTTTTCACCACCAGAACTTTAGTTTTGTAAGTACTTTAGAACCATTTAGAACCATGGATTGCACATGCCTAGTAAGCATGAGCGGATTCTCTATCAAAACACTCAGGGACAGGCAGGCTCAGTTTAAAAAATAGTAAACAATTTGAAGTTTATTGAACACATCTATCTCACACATTAATCCCTCGATTATTTAATTATTCACTGCTCCCCAAGCCCAATTTATGCCTTCCCCTTGGCTAATTATATCCATTACAGCTTTTCACTGTCTTTACACAATCTTTTCCCTATATTTTATGTCCTTTCCCATAGCCCCTATTCACAGCATTCCCTGAGCAGTGGCTGGTTGGCACCAGCTAGGCACAGTTCCTCCCTTCACACTTCCTTTTTCAGGAATATATATTATGTTAAGGATTAGTATATGCTAATTTTCAACCAGTCCTATTTTAATGAGCCCCCTATTCTTCCCATTTAGCGTCTACATAAGATGGCTTCTTTCTGCTTTCTTTGCAAGAAATTATCAAGACGTAACATCTGCATTACACAAATGGAAAATTTTGCTCAGAGGTCATTATGTTTCAAGGGTAAGTGATCATAAATTATTCATATAGCAGTGTTACAGTTTGGAAGACAAATTCCCAAAATCACGTCAAATGATTTTTGATGCTTCACTTGCTTATTACAATAGAGATATTTCTCTCTTCTTATGGTGATATTTATATCACCCAAGATAGTACTGGTGTTACCCATGTTTTCTCATTGAGGGCAGCTGGAACAAATGCTAATATTTCTTCATAATATGAGCATGCAATTTTATGGCAATAACTAGCCATCCCCTGCCACGCGTAGCTGTGGCCGACATGGGGGTTCTGTGTGGGAGGTTTGGCCCAATTCTATCATTGGTGGGGTTCAGAATGCTCTGTGATTGCAGGTGAACTATAAATCCCAGCAACTAAAACTCACAAATGTCAAGATTCTATTTTCCACAAACTGCACCAGTGTTTACATTTGGGCATATTGAGTATTCGTGTAGAGTTTGGTCCAGATCCATCATTGTTTGAGTCCACAGTGATCTCTGGTGAACCAAAACTCCAAAAACAAAGGACAGTGCCCACCAAACCCTTCCAGTATTTTCTGTTGGTCATGGGAGAACTGGGTGCCAAGTTTGGTTCAGTTCCATCGTTGGTGGGGTTCAGAATGCTCTTTGATTGTAGGTGATCTATAAATCCCACCAACTACAACTCCCAAATGACAAAATCCATTTTTTTTAGTGAAGGACATACATTGGGTTGTTAGGTGTCTTGTGTCCAAATTTGGTGTCAATTCGTCCAGTGTTTTTTGAGTTCTGTTAATCCCACAAACGAACATTACATTTTTATTTATATAGACTATGTGCTGGTACAGTGTGTTGGAGGAAGCAACCTTCTTAAGCCTCCTCTATTTGATGTTTTTCTGTATGTCATTTTATATACTGAAGTATGCGTCTTATTCGATTTGCAATTTACTTATATCTATATACCTAAAGCAGTGGGACGGGCTGCAAGTCTCGTGACTAATGTCCAGGTTTACATAGAATGACATTTAGGGAAGTATAGAAGTCTGTGTTGTACTCCAGCCTTTGATTGTATCTACAAATGACCTCTCTGGGGATTCTGGGCCTGTTAGTCAGCCTGATGACATTAGGAATTATGGGTCTGCAAGTCAGCAGGAGCATCAGAAGAGCCAACAAGCTATTTTAAGCCCTGAAAATGAGCAGTCTCTGTCTGAAAGCCACATTGCAGAAAGGCAGTTCATTATGGAAGCAAGGTCAGAAATAGAAAAGAGCTCAGAGGATGAAAATGAAAGTGCAGACTAATGAGAAGTTAGATAGGAGATTTGCACTCCATCAACACAGAGCTTCTCAGGAGAGTTTCTGAAGGTCAAGATGCCTATTAGCTAAGAAATCCTTATCAGTTTCCCAGGGGAGAATGCGTATTCATTGAAAAGCTATAGCAAAATGTGCTTCAGGATGTCCCGCAGATGCAAAGTTTTTGCAATTTTTTCCCCAACCTTTTCCATGTTTTTATGAAAGGATCAGTTGCAGTAGTTTGTTTGTTTATTTATTTATTTATTTATTTGCAGTTCTTATATTCCGCCCTTCTCACCCCGTAGGGGACTCAGGGCGGATTACAGTAAACACATATATGGCAAACATTCAATGCCAGTTTGACAAACAATGTGTAACAGACAAATACACCGAGGCTATTTAACTTTTTTTCTGGCCGCCAGGGGAGCTGCTGCTTTTCATCGTCCATCAACGACACCGATGAAGTTCTTCCGCATTCCACGTTCCCCGGAGTCTTTCTTCTTTATGGCCTCATAAATTAGTTAATTTAGCCTCTCACACAAGGTGGTACCTTATTTTCCTACTTGACAGATGCAACTGTCTTTCGGGTTGCAAAGGTTGACAACGGGCTACACAATGGCTGGACACCCACTCCAGCCCGGCCTGGCTTCGAACTCATGACCTTTTGGTCAGAGTGATCTTAATGCAGCTGACACTCAGCCAGCTGCGCCACATCTGAACCTGGGGTCCCCAGATGTTTTTGGCCTTCAACTCCCAGAAATCCTAACAGCTGGTAAACTGGCTGGGATTTCTGGGAGTTGTAGGCCAAAAACATCTGGGGACCCCAGGTTCAGAACCACTGAGTTAGGGAATGACGTTTATAATCCAGGAACAAAAATCATGTTCCATCGTGTAATGCACTATGTTACTGGTTTGGATATAAGTAAGAGTTCTACCATCATATCATTGCAACATTTCCCTTTCAGTTCCTATTTGTACTACTGGCTCTGGGAGAAATGCTTGTGCCTTATGAATCTATGACATCAGGCTGACCATAGAAGCCCTAGCTGTTTGTGTATGCTCCTTGTCCTGATCAGGTTCCCTGTCTCGAAATGGGTAGGTGAGTATTTGGAAACTCTTTCTCTCTTTTCACTCCGGGTGCATGCTTCCCGTATAGTTCTTTTTAAAGTAAAAAATCCAAAGTTATTTTTTCACCTTGGTTCCAGTAGTATATGTTTTTTAAAACAGCTAAACACTGGGACTGCAAAGGGAAGGAAGTATTTAAGTCTTCTTTATTAAAAAAAAAATCAAAAATAGTACAGGGTGAGGCAGCATAACTTCCTTTTTTCAAAACTTAATAAAACCCATTGTATGAATCAGAAATTTTTCTTTTTTTTTTTTTAATGATGTAGGCACATACCTAATGTCAAGACCCAGAAGCCTCAGTAAAGCCAAACACAGGGTAAACGATCCAAACACAAGTTTATTGGTAACAAAAGAGTCTTTAAAGCACTTAGAATCAGTGCAGCAGGTTCAGTCAACAAGTTGACATCAAAAACGAGATAATATAATGAACTGAAGTATAAACCAGATTATCCTGGCGTTTAATCCGGTACAAACACAAAAATACAGCAATTCGCTTTAAAGTTGGCACAGTTCAAAAGGCACAGTTCAAGAAGCAACAACACAGTCAAAAAACGTTCCTAGGTCAAAGCACGAGGTTTACAGATAGTTCAAATCCAGTTGGCAAAAGCGTTGTTCAAATCAGTCCAGAGTCAAGCCGTAGTAGAGATAAACACAGTAACACAGGAATCTGTAGTCCAGGGACCCAAGCTCGAGAGTTGGCAGTAACAAAGATTCACATCCCAAAAGAGACACTTTGCCTTCTCCAAAGAGCCATACCACCCAAACCCACGTTTATCCTAAAGCTCCTCATTAGAGAATGATGAGCTCCCCACCCTTTCATCATCACTCTCAGCTGCCTTCATCCTCGCAGCTGAACCCAAGCGCCCATCCCTCCACCTCTGCCAGCGTCTGTCAAGACTTAGATCTTGCCAAGTGCTCCCCGGTTGCCATTCCCCTGTAAACCCTTCAGATTCATCACTGGAGGTGGGTTGGTTGCAAATGTCCCTAATCTCCTGAACACGGGTCCAATCCAGCTCATCCTCCTCCCCCATATCACTCCCAGATCCATCACTCCTTTCGAACCCTATGAAGTCCTCATCCTCTGTAGGAGCGCTAAGTATATCACGGATACGCTTCCTTTGAAGCTCTTCGTTGGACTCTTGATCGCGAGTAGCCCGCTTGACTCCCCTGCTTTCCTCCCCATCCCCCATTTCACAATCGGAGAAGCCCTCAAACGTCTCGGAATCACGTGGAGCCATGATTATCTCTCTAATCTGCTTTTGTTGCTGCTCCTCCTCCAACACCTGCGCAGCCCTCTTCTCCCTTCTACCAGGAGTAGTAATGTTACCATCACACTGAACTACAACACCTAAAGTTTTGTTTTACGTAGTTTTGAAGATCAAATTAGGTAGGTGACATCCCCCATTCTCCATACACTGAGTAAACCATGTCATGACTCTTGCCAGCATAGCAGGCGTTATGTTGGGAATTTCTTCCTGGATGTTGGTCTTCAAATCTTGTAGGGTCCTTGGATGGTTCACATCAACACGGATTTCAGAAAACACTATAGAAAAAAATCACAAGGGGCCAAAACTGGAGAGCGGGCCGGCCACTCCAAATCCACTCGAAAAGTCGGTCTCAACAGCAAAAGCACGCTCCTCACTGTTCCAACGCATGATGGTGACTGAACTGTGTCAGGACAAAACTTTATACTCCCGCCTCTCGAATGATAACACTAGCGCTCCGCTATGTCTTCAACCGATTGAATGGCGCGCATTTTAAAAAAGGAAGTTATGCTGCTGCACCCTGTATATTTAAGGAGAATTATTTTTAAACTTCCCAATTAATATGAATTCTGTTTTATAATCCTCTTCGAGTTTGTCAAGTTCTACAATCTATACATAAAGTTGTATTGTCGAAGGCTTTCATGGCTGGAATCACTAGGTTCTTGTGGGTTTTTTTGGGCTATAGAGCCATGTTCTAGAGGCATTTCTCCTGACGTTTCGCCTGCATCTATGGCAAGCATCCTCAGAGGTAGTGAGGTCTGTTGGAATTAGGACAATGGGTTTATATATCTGTGGAATGGCTGGGGTGGGGCAAAGAGCTCTTCTCTGCTGGAGCTCGGTGTGAATGAAGGTGATCAGTTGAAACATTCACACCTAGCTCCAGCAGAGAAGAGCTCTTTGCCCCACCCCAGCCATTCCACAGATATATAAACCCATTGTCCTAATGCCAACAGACCTCACAACCTCTGAGGATGCTTGCCATAGATGCAGGCGAAACGTCAGGAGAAATGCCTCTAGAACATGGCTCTATAGCCCGAAAAAACCCACAAGAACCTAAATATACATAAAGTTAATTTATTTAAATGGACAATAAAAAATAGTATCTCACTTTGAATGTTTTGCAGCCCAGCAACTGCATCTTTGACATGTCTGTATATTACAGCATTTCATGTGGATGTTTTTTATTCTTGTTTCTAATTTCAGGATCAGCATCTCGTGCCTGTTTCCTGCTTCCTGGCACTTTAGTCTTTCCCCAGTTGGGTGTCCTCGGATACTGAACACCACGCTACGACAGATTACAGTCATTGGGCTCCTGGCTGCTGCCTTTTTCTTGCTGTACTATTCTGTTTTAAAATATAGTGGTCACCGGGACAAAAAGATGCACAGGTAAGAACAGACTAGGAAACAAAAAATGTGTTCCAAAGGCTGGGGATTCACAACATAAGTTGTTCCTTGTTTAAGTGGGTGTGTTTAAATGTGCTTTCACATCCTTATACAGTTTAAATGTGCTTTTACATCCACTTAAACAAGGCACGATTTATGTTGTGAATTTTCCAGGTTTTTAATTATTTAGATGTGGTTTTTATAATATGCATTAAATGTTTTTAATTGTGTTTTATGGCTATTGTGGCATCAAATTTTTGCCACTTATAAGCCACCTTGAGTTGCCTTTGGGCTGAGAAAGGTGGCATAGAAATACTGTAAATAAATAAATACTTTTGAGTATGGATTAAATATAGTTCAAAGGCGCCTGTGGTGGTGCAGCAGGTTAAACTGCTGAGCTGCAGAACTTGCTGACCAAAAGGTCAAGAGTTTGAATATGCAGAAAGGGTGAGCTCCTGTTGTTAACCCCTGCTTCTGCCAACCTAGCAGTTCGAAAACATGAAAATGTGAATTGCCTTCGGGCTGAGAAACGCAGCATAGAAATATTGTAAATAAATAAATACTTTTGAATGTGGATTAAATATAGTTTAATGGCGTCTGTGGTGGTGCAGCGGGTTAAACTGCTGAGCTGCAGAACTTGCTGACCAAAAGGTCAACAGTTTGAATATGCAGAAAGGGTGAACTCCTGTTGTTAGTCCCTGCTTCTGCCAACCTAGCAGTTTGAAAACATGAACATGTGAGTTGCCTTCGGGCTGAGAAAGGTGGCATAGAAATACTGTAAATAAATAAATACTTTTGAGTGTGGATTAAATATAGTTTAATGGCAGCCGTGGTGGTGCAGCAGGTTAAACTGCTGAGCTGCAGAACTTGCTGACCAAAAGGTCAACAGTTTGATTATGCAGAAAGGGTGAGCTCCTGTTGTTAGTCCCTGCTTCTGCCAGCCTAGCAGTTCGAAAACATGAAAATGTGAGTTGCCTTCGAGCTAAGAAACACGGCATAGAAATATTGTAAATAAATAAATACTTTTGAATGTGGATTAAATATAGTTTAATGGCGTCTGTGGTGGTGCAGTGGGTTAAACTGCTGAGCTGCAGAACTTGCTGACCAAAAGGTTGGCAGTTCAAATATGCAGACAGGGTGAGTTCCTGTTGTTAGTCCTTGCTTCTGTCAATCTAGCAGTTCAAAACATGCAAATGTGAGTAGATCAATAGGTACCGCTTTGATGGGAAGGTAATGGTGCTCTATGCAGTCAATGCTGGCCATGTGACCTTGGAGGCGTCTACTGGCAACGCCGGCTCTTTGACTTAGAAATGGAGATGAGCACCGACCCCCAGAGTCAGACTCAACTAGACTTAATGTCAAGGAGAAATTTTACCTTTTAAAATATGGTTTGGAAGGCCTACATATTTTAATGATTTTTCTTTTTTATTATAAATTTTTATTGAGAGTATATAATAACAAGGAAAGTGGGTGAACAAAATAAGTTGGAAAGTGGGGAAAAAACAGAGAAGAAAAAAAATGAATGTAAAGAAAAAAAGAAATAAAAAATACACACATACAAAGTCCATTCACTATTTACAGTTTGACTTCCCACTACATGTAGGTGATGTCATCCAAAGGTAAATTTATACTATGGTTCACTTATTTCAAAAATTCTCTCCACTATACCATTCATTACTATCGTCTTTTATTCCTACTCAGCACGTTTTTAAGTCTGAAGTGTTCTGGTTTGCCTTTACCTAGTTTGATTAACTTTTTTTTTCTTTTTACCAATGTCCAGTCTATTTGTAGTTTCCTTCTTTGTTGATATGTTGTCATTAGATTAGTTAGTCTGTCCATATTCATAATCTCAATTAGTTTCAAAAACCATTGATCCATCGAGGGGGTTTCTTCGTTTCTCCAAAGCCTTGATTTTTCTATTGTTGTGAGCATCTCACAGATGTGGAGGGCTGACTGTGAATGAAATCATATTTGCAGTTTGATTATGTTTATATGCTTGACAGATTTCACTCAGTGCAGCTGTGGTCTCTTCCAGGTATCTTGCACGAGTAACAGACACAGAAGCGACGGATACCAGCAACCCCAAGCTGAACTATGGCATCATGGTCGACTGTGGGAGCAGTGGGTCTAGGATATTTGTGTATTGGTGGCCCAGACACAACGGCAATCCACATGATTTACTGGACATCAAACAAATGAGGGACAAAAACAGACAACCAGTGGTTATGAAAATTAAACCAGGTATTGGGAAGAAACATTACAACAACAACAACAACAACAACAACATTTTTATTGATTAGCCAGGTGGCCTTATCAAAAACAGATAGTGCAAACACAACATACAACATACGCCTGGTCCTATTAAAATAGAATACAGATATATAGGAATTTATCAACTCAAAACCAATGTAGCTTAGCCATAGATACAAGGGGTATTTTTTAAGTAAGGTCCATTTTGTTGTAGACACTAGTAGTACACGCGCATACCGCAACGAGCGTGTGCGTCGTGTACCGGCATGCCTCGGGAACAACTGTGCTCAGTTTCCGCTCTGTAGCTCACCTGTACGGTTCTATTCTGTGCTTTAAAAATGTTTAAGACTCTTAACTCACCCTCTGCATGTGAGGTTCGCTCAGTGATATGGTTTTTGTCAGCAAGGAACCTGCCTGATGCAGAAATCCATCGACAGATTTGTGAAGTGTACGGTGAGACTGTGATGAGTGAAAGCAAAGTGCGCAAGTGGGTACGACAATTCAAAGATGGCCGTGACAACGTCCATGATGAGGACCGCTCCGGTCGCCCTTCTTTGATTACAGATTATTTGATTTGATCACACACTCAAATCTTTGGTTTTTGTGGTCCTCTGTTAGGAGTTTCGGGACCCAACAGGAGCACAGTTTCCTAAACTTTAGGTGTTCAGAAACAATGTTGTAAAGCACTGATCTCGACCCGTCAGGAAATTCGTTTGAGAGACCTGTTATTGTGAAGCGCCTGTTCTCACGAATCCTTGCTTCAACTGAAGCCACCAAATCGTCTGTAATCAAAGAAGGGCGACCGGAGCGGTCCTCATCTTGGACGTTGTCACGGCCATCTTTGAATTGTCGTACCCACTTACACACTTTCCCAGCATCCCAGCACCTGTGAAATCACTTCCGAAACTGGCAGAAGTCGTTTTAAAGATGGCGGACGCAGCTTCGATATGGCAAAAATACATCTGGGTTGCTAAAATGCGTTGATATCGCTTCTAAAGGTATTTAATGAATTAATAACGAGATAAGAAATTAACGAACTGGATGAACCAAGCCTAATATATATATTTTTTATTTGGGATAATCTGTATACTTTCAAATATTGTTCTGCTTTCATTAACTAGTCTTCCCTAAAAATCAATACCTTCTCTGTTGGACTCTCACATTTCTGATATGTTTGCATGCATATCTCTCCCTTTCCAGGCATTTCAGAATTTGCTACCTCTCCTGAGAAAGTCAGTGACTATATTTTCCCACTTTTGAGCTTTGCTGCAGAACACGTGCCTCGTGCAAAACATAAAGAAACACCTCTCTATATTCTCTGCACAGCAGGAATGAGAATCCTGCCGGAGAGGTGACTCAGCTATCACATTTTATGAAAATCTTGAAAATCAAATATCATTTCTGATATTTAATATTGAAAATCAAATTTCATTTTCTAATGTAACTTATACCTAAACTTTGTGGAATCTTGCAGCCAGCAAAAAGCAATCCTCGAAGACCTCCTTACTGATATCCCGGTGCATTTTGATTTTCTCTTTTCGGACTCACATGCAGAAGTTATTTCTGGAAAACAGGAAGGTAAATAAATTAACGTTGTTATTTTGCACTCCTGTCTAAAATCGCTCTGCTTGGACATCTGTAACAGTTGGCTCTGGGGCCCCTTCCACACAGCTGAATAAAATCCCACATCATCTGCTTTTAATGTATTTATTTATTTATGACATTTATATGCCACCTTTCTCACCCCGAATAATATATTATATTATTAGCATAGTACAATATCAGCAATTATATATTACTATATTGCACTATACCATTATATTGTAATCTTTGTAATATTACATGTAAAATAAAATATATAATTATAATATCATATTATTAGTAGTATTATATTATATTACATTATAATAATGTAAATATTATATGTATATACAATATATCGTATTATTACCATAGAACATTATACAAGGTGGAACTGTCTTCTCCCCTCCCCCCCCCCCCTCCACTCTGGCCCATAGCAGCAGTTGGTGCTGTGGGGAGGGGTCCCCAAGTGATGACATATGCTGGAGACAAGATGGAACTGGAATGTATGGCAGTGTGGACTCAAATAACCCAGTTCAAAGCAGATATTGTGGGATTTTCTGCCTTGATATTCTGGGTTATATAGTTGTGTGGAAGGGCCCTAGGTCACTGATTTTATAAGGAACGAAAAAGACAAATTGTTTTATTGGAAGTTATTGTAGTGGATGTCCATGCAATGCAATATTTGCATTTCCTCAGCTTCACATTCAAATCAGTATTGTAAGAAGAGATGAGTGGAATAGCTAGCATTTAGGGAGATTGAAAGTGGCACCTGTTGGCTAGTCAGAATACTTTTAGGAAACAGAATAGAGTGTAAATAAGAGACCTTCCTTGTTCAAACAGTGCCTAAAAATAACTGGAGTAACTCAGTATCCGTGTTTAGATGAGAATGGTTTTTCTTACCTTTGATTCATCTTTGTACCATAGGGCCCCCTCCACACAGCCCTATATCCCAGAATATCAAGGTCAAAAACCCCACTTTATTTATTTATTTACAGTATTTATATTCTGCCCTTCTCACCCTGCAGGGGACTCTGCACATAAACATGGCAAACATTGAATGCCATTTAGACATACAACATATATATATATATAGAGAGAGAGAAACGCATTTAACATTCCAGCTGTTCTGGCTTCATGAGGGTATGCTCAGCTCCAGCCACAGGGGGAGCTGCTGCTTCACTGTCCACTTGTGATACCAAGTCCTATGATGGAGTACTTCCTCATTCTTCTGCACACTGCTAGAAGATTTTATGGTGTCATAAATTAGTTAAGTTAGCCTCCCTGTATAAAACGGTTCTTAAATTTCCTACTTGACAGGAGCAACTGTCTTTAGGGCTGCATAGGTCGACAGCAAAATAGACAATTAATGGTCAGGAGCATGCTCCGACCCGGGCTGGCTTCGAACTCAGTAGTGATTTAATTCAGCTGGCTACTAACTAGCTGTGCCACTGCCCGGTCCATTATCTGAGGGTGGATCCAGACAGCGACTTTATTGCAGAAACAAACCTGGACAAACTGGAATTAATCCACCACAAACAATAAGAACCCTGGTTTGTGGCGAATTAATTTAATAGTGGGTTTATTCCGCGCCTTCTTGGAAGGTGTGGAATAAATTCACTACTTCAACTGTCTGGACTGCTCTCTCAAAAGTTCTGGACTACCTTGGCAGCCACCTCTTCAACAAAGTCAACATTTACACTGAAATTCAACACCGCCTGAGCTCTGCAAGAGCAGCATTCTTCCGAATGAAGCAGAGAGTGTTTGAGAACTATGCCATCTGCAGGGAGACCAAGGGGCTTGTTTATAAAGCCATTGTCCTCCCAACCCTGCTATACGCTTGTGAGACGTGGACTGTCTACAGACATCACATGTGATTCCATCAGTGTTGCCTCTGAAAAATCTTGCAAATCTCTTGGAAAGACAGGCAGACAAATGTCAACGTGCTAGAACAGTGGTTCTCAACCTGGGGTCCCCAGATGTTTTTGGCCTACAACTCCCAGAAATCCCAGCTAGTTTACCAGCTGTTAGGATTTCTGGGAGTTGTAGGCCAAAAACATCTGGGGACCCCAGGTTGAGAACCACTGTGCTAGAAGAAGCAAAGACCACCTGCATTGAAGTGATGCTCCTCCGCCATCAACTCCGCTGGACCAGCCACATTGTCCAAATACCTGATCACTGTCTCCCAAAGTAGTTGCTCTACTCTGAACGCAAGAACGGAAAATGGAATGTTGGGGGACAGGAAAAGAGATTCAAAGATGGGCTCAAAGCCAAGCTTAAAAACTGTGGCATAGACACAGAGAACTGGGAAGCCCTGGCCCTTGAGCGCTCCAGTTGGAGGTCAGCTATGACCATCAGTGCTGTAGAATTTGAAGAGGCACGAATGGAGGGCGAAAGAGAGAAAAGTGCCAAGAGGAAGACGCGTCAAGCCAACCCCGATTGGGACTGCCTTCCACCTGGAAACCAAGGCCTTTATGGTTTGAGAAGATGCAGATCAAGAATAGGGCTCCACAGTCACCTACGGACCCACCAGCACACTGATCCTGGAAGACTGTCCTACTTGGACAATAAGGGATCGCCTAACTAAGTAAACATGATCTGAACCTCAGTTTTAGATCTGTGGGTAGTTAGGGGAGTCTCATTCAGGCTTTGAGAAAATGAGTGATTGTGTTTGCTGCAGGCATTATTTATATTTTTAGTAACAAATAGCTTGAACCCTTTTGGTTATGTATCTCTGTGTTATAGTTTGACTTCATTCTGTAAAAAGTTACAGCTAAATGGCAAAACATTTACAACATGTTCCGTTAAATTTCTCAGGAGTATATGCATGGATCGGCATCAACTTTGTTCTTGGGAGATTTGAGCATACTGACGATGGTAAGTATAAATTAGTAATAGTATGAGTGAACAAAAACAATTCATAATCAGTTGTTGCCTTCTTTCTGTACTGAAATGGGAATGGTTTAATAAGAGGTCTGAAGATTCTACAATGGATAGAAAACCGAAGTCAAGAATAAACTGCAAATGAATGTTCAACAGTGGTACTCACGGAGTGTGGGGAAAGCTCCTTCTTTGGAGGCTTTTAAACCGAGGCTGGATGGCCATCTGTCAGGGGTGCTTTGAATGCGATTGTCCTGCTTCTTGGCAGAATGGGGTTGGACTGGATGGCCCACGAAGTGTCTTCCAACTCTAGAATTCTATGATTCTAATTTCCTGACTGTGAGAGCTGTTCACCAGTGGAACTCTCTGCCCTGGAGTGTTGTGGGGGCTCTTTCTTCGGAAACTTTTAAACAGATTGTGCTTTTCCTACCTGGTGGGGTTGGACAGGGTGATCCCTGGGGTCTTTTCCCACTTTGATTCTTTGTGTTCCATAATTACCATAAATACTTGGGTGTAAGCTGGGTTTTTCAGCCCTTTTTAAAGGCTGAAAAAGCCCTCCTCGGCATATCCTCGAGTAAAAGTTATTTATCATTTTACTCTGTCATTTTTATTATATTTATTACATTTATTATTTATTATATTTATTACATTTATTATTTTACTCTATTAAATAAATCATTATTATGTTTATATTATTTTACTTTATTAATATTTTATTACATTTATTATTTTACTTTATTAATTATCGTTATTACATTTATCATTTTACTCTATTATTCTTATTTCATTGTTTTACTCTATTATTATTATTACATTTATTTTTTATTTTGCTATTATTGCATTTATTATTTTACTCTATTATTTTTATTATTTCATGTATTGTTTTACTCTATTATTATTGTTATTACATTTATTTTTCTTTATTGTTATTACATTCATTTTTCTTTATTGTTATTACATTTATGACTTTACTATTGATGTTGATTTATTATTTTACTCTATTATTATTACATTTATTATTTTACTCTATTAATTAAATCATTATTATGCTTATATTATTTTACTTTATTAGTATTTTATTACATTTATTATTTTACTTTATTTATTATTGTTATTACATTTATTATTTTACTCTATTATTCTTATTTCATTTATTGTTTTACTCTATTATTATTATTGTTATTACATTTATTTTTTCTTAATTGTTTTTACATTTATTACTTTACTGTTGTTGTTGATTTATTATTTTACTATATTATTATTATTACATTTATTATTTTACTCTATTATTACTGTTATTACATTTCCATTATTTTACTCTATCATTTATATTATTATTACATTTATTATTTTTCTCTATTATTATTGGAAGGATACGTAAGCACACTTACATTGAAGAAGGTTAGAATAATGGTTTCATCAGAGTTGGACAGTCTTCTCTTAAATTACAGTTTTATGTAAATACTAGCCGTCCCTGCCATGTGTTGCTGTAGCCCAGTCTGTGTATATGTGTTTTGTGTCTGTATATATTTGTGTATGTGTGTGTGTGTGTGTGTGTGTGTGTGTGTGTGTGTGTGTGTGTGTATATATGGTTTTGTGCATGCATTGTAATGTATTTTTATTTTTTGGCTTTTAAAGGCTCTCCCACTGTGTTTACCAGTATTTTTATGAGTGATGGTCACTCGTTGGCCTGATAGGTGTATTGTGTTCAAATTTGGTGTCAATTCATTCAGTAGTTTTTGAGTTATGTTAATCCCACAAACGAACATTACATTTTTATTTATATAGAAACTAGCTGTCCTCTGCCACACGTTGCTGTGGCCCAGTCTGTGTATATGTGTTTTGTGTGTGTATATATTTGTGTATATGTGCATATATGTGTGTTTGTGTATATATATATGGTTTTGTGCATGCGTTGTAATGTATTTTTTATTATTATTTTTTTGCTTTTAATGTCTTTCCAGATGTGTTTTCCAGTGTTTTTATGAGTGATGGTCACTCGTTGGCCTGATTGTCCAAATTTGGTGTCAATTCGACCAGTGGTTTTTGAGTTATGTTAGTCCCACAAACGAACATTACATTTTTATTTATAAATATTCAAAACAACTGATGCCCCAATTAATGTAATTTTATTGGTATCTATTTTTTATTTTGAAATGTACCAGTAGCTGCTGCATTTTCCACCATCAGCTTATACTTCAGTCAATACATTTTCCCAATTTTTTGGTGGTAAAATTAGGTACCTTGGCTTATATTTTGGGTCGGCTTATACTCGACTATATATGGTAATAATTTTGATAGTCTTCTGTGTTGCAGTCATCATAGAATCCTAGAATCAAAGAGTTGGAAGAGACCTCATGGGCCATCCAGTCCAATCTCCTGCCAAGTAGCAGGAATATTGCATTCAAATCACCCCTGACAGATGGCCATCCAGCCTCTGTTTAAAAGCCTCCAAAGAAGGAGCCTCCACCACACTCCGGGGCAGAGAGTTCCATCTGCTGAACGGCTCTCACAGTCAGGAAGTTCTTCCTCATGTTCAGATGGAATCTCCTCTATTGTAGTTTGAAGCCATTGTTCCGCGTCCTAGTCTCCAGGAAGCAGAAAACAAGCTTGCTCCCTCCTCCCTGTGGCTTCCTCTCACATATTTATACAAGGCTATCATATCTCCTCTCAGCCTTCTCTTCTTCAGGCTAAACATGCCCAGCTCCTTAAGCCGCTCCTCATAGGGCTTGTTCTCCAGACCCTTGATCATTTTAGTCGCCCTCCTCTGGACACATTCCAGCTGTCAATATCTCTCTTGAATTGTGGTGCCCAGAATTGGACACAATATTCCAGGTGTGGTCTAACCAAAGCAGAATAGAGGGGTAGCATTACTTCCTTAGATCTAGACACTATGCTCCTCTTGATGCATGCCAAAATCCCATTGGCTTTTTTTGCCGCCACATCACATTGTTGGCTCATGTTTAACTTCCTGTCCACGAGGACTCCAAGATTTAATATTCCGTTACCCCAGTGTGTTCATCACATTAGGTTTGATTCAAGTGTAGGATACAGTATTCTTTTTATAGGGAACGAAAAAGACAAATTGTTTTATTGGAAGCTGTTGTAGTGGATGTCCATGTAATGCAATATTTGCATTTCCTCAGCTTCACATTCAAATGATGTTTGAATCAAAATCAATATTGTAAGAAGAGACGAGTGGAATAGATAGCATTTAGGGAGATTGAAAGTGGCACCCGTTGGCTAGTCAGAATAGGCTGAAAATAAGAGACTCTCCTTGTTCAAACAGTGCCTAAAAAGAACTGGAATAATTCAGTATCAGTGTTTAGAAGAGAGTGGTTTCTTCTCAACTTTGAATCATAGAATCCTAGAGCTGGAAGAGACCTGGTGGGCCATCCAGTCCAACCCCATTCTGCCAAGAAGCAGGGAAATTGCATTCAAAGCACCCCAGACAGATGGCCATCCAGCCTCTGTTTAAAAACCTCCAAAGGAGGAGCCTTCACCACATTCTGGGGCAGAGTTCCACTGCTGAACAGCTCTCACAGTCAGGAAGTTCAGATGGAATCTCCTTTCTTGTAGTTTGAAGCCATTGCTCCGTTGCGTCCTAGTCTCCAGGGAAGCAGAAAACAAATTCGCTCCCTCCTCCCTGTGGCTTCCTCTCACATATTTATACATGGCTCTCATCATATCTCCTCTCAGCCTTCTCTTCTTCAGGCTAAACATGCCCAGCTCCTTAAGCCGCTCCTCATAGGGCTTGTTCTCCAGACCCTTGATCATTTTAGTGGCCCTCCTCTGGACACATTCCAGCTTGTCAATGTCACTCATGTCGATCTTTCAATCGCTGTCAACCCTGACACTTTGTTCTACCATGGGAGCATTTTCCAAATGTTTCTAGCTTTTAGCAGTTAGTTATAAAGCAGTTTATCCTAGAAATGTGATTTATTTATTTTACTGTTGTGATTTCTTATTTAATGCAAAACCCTTGTTACTCTGCCGAATGTTGTTCCATACCAGAATGTAGGGTTTGGATCCTAAGAAAGGTGTTCACTCGCATTTATCAACACGGCTGTCTCATTTCTTTACCAGACGACGATGCGCTGGTGGAGGTGCATATTCCTGGCAGCGAGAACAAGGAAGCCGTTGTGCGAAAGAGGACTGTGGGTATACTTGACATGGGTGGTGTGTCAACTCAAATAGCCTATGAAGTCCCCAAAACTGTAAGCTTTGCCTCTTCACAGCAGGTTATTATCTGTACAACTTTCCTTCATTTCCTTTTGTTTTTTCCTTGTGTTTTAACCCATATCCATCTATTCTTTTTTTTCCTTTTGGGCCTTATATAAGTCCTGTGTGCCATGGTGGGAGATCTCCATCCTGAGCCAAAAGAGGTGTTTGTCAGCTAAGCAATCAATCCACATATATATCTTCCATTTCATAAATTGATTTATTTAATCATTTCAGTATCTTTCTTTTAGTTATGATGTGGAACTCTCATCTAGTTGTCAACTCTCTGAGTTTTGCTGTTTAAATCGTAATATGCATATTTGGTTTATATATATATATATATATATATATATATATATATATATTAGGGCTGGGCGGTTTCGTTTCGTTAATTCGTAATTCGTTAATAATTCGTTAATTTTTTCAATTACAAAACGATAACGAACCATTCTGGAGCAATTATTTAAAAAAAACGAATTTTCAAAAACGTTTTGTAAATGCTTCGTATTTCGATATTGTATTCGTTTCGTTATTGTTTTGAGGTCGTTTCGTTATTATTTCCGCATGTCTGGGCCAGTTTTATGGTTTAATTAGTGAAAAAAAATTATAATATCACACCAACAGTCAACAACAGAGGGAGAGGGAAGCTTCAGAAGGTTTTGGAGGTTTTTTTAGCATATTTCGCGGTCGCGCCCGCCATTAACGAATCGATTCGTTATTGTTTCGGAAATCGATTCGTTAATTTTTTACCATTTACGAAATTTCGTAAATATCGAACTTTTTAAAAGGAAAATTTTGTAATTATTTTAAATATCAAAACAAAAAAACCCCCCAAATACAAATCGATTTTAGAAACAAATTTTTCCGTTGTTACCCAGGCCTAATATATATATATATATATATATATATATATATATATATATATATATATATACATACTGTATATACTTGAGTATAACCTTAGTTTTTCAGCCCCCTTTTTAGGCTGAAAAAGTCTCCCTCAGCTTTTACTTGAGTCAAGGTTATTTACTATTTTACTCTGTTATTATTATTATATTTATCAGTTTATTATTATTATTATTATTACAATTTTACTCTAATAAAGTAAAATAATAAATGTGATAATAACAATAATAGAGTAAAATTGTAATAATAATAATAAAGTAAACTAATAAATGTAATAATAATACAGTAAAATAATGGAAAACTAATAATAACATTAATAGAATAAAATAATAAATGTAATAATAACAACAATAATAAAGTAAAATAATAAATGTAGTAATAACAATAATATTGTTGTTATTATTACATTTATTATTTTATTCTATTGATGTTATTATTACTTTTCCATTATTTTGCTTTATTATTATTATTATTACATTTATTAGTTTACTTTATTATTATTATTACAATTTTTCTCTATTGTTATTATTACAATATTTTACTTTATTATTGATGTTAATATTACATTTATTATTTTATCATATTATTAATGTTATTATTACATTTCCATTATTTTGCCTTATTATTATTACATTTATTATTTTACTCTCTTTATTATTATTGGAAGGATATGTAAACACATTTACATTGAACAAGATTAGAATAATGGTTTAATCAGAGTTGGGCACTTATCTTAAATTACAGTTTTATGTAAATATTAAAAAAACACTTAACCTATAATTAACGTAATTTTATTGGTATCTATTTTTATTTTGAAATTGACCTGTAGTGACTTCATTTCCCAACCTCAGCTTATACTTAAGTCAATATGTTTTCCCAGGTTTTTGTGGTCAAATTAGATGCCTCGGCTTATATTCGGGTCGGCTTATACTCGAGTATATACGGTATAAGAAAACATTAGTTTAATTGATCTCTACCTTTAAACAATAATTAAAAACACAAAAACATGGTACAAAATATGCATATTTGTGTGTGTGTGTGTGTTCAAATCATAGCTGATAAATATTGTGGTTACTATTACAACATTCTATGATTGACGGCTTTATCACATAGATTAGTAAAATAATATTATTTATTTTTTTGCAACATTTATATGCCGCTCTACTCACACCATTGGAGACTCAGAGCAGCTTACAAGATATATATGCATACAATATATTATATTATTAGCATCGTACAATATCAGTATTAAATATTGCCATATTGTACTATACCAGTGTATTGTAATATTATTAGTAATATTACATGTAATAGAAATATATAATTATAATATATTATTATACTGCATAATATTATAATATATACATTATATTACATTACATTACATTATATTACTAGAATATTAAGTGAGAGAATTAATATGCCGTATATACTCGAAGATAAGACAAATTTTTCAGACCTTTTTATGGGCTGAAGAAGCCTCCCTCGGCTTATAATGGGGTCAAGCCAGACAGCAGAGCCTGGAGGTCATTGCTTACAATATATATGTTTCTCTCTCATCTTTCCCTCCCTGAACAGTTTGTTTTCTTTTCTGCTCTGCTTCTCCTCCCAGGCTGGGATGTTTTGAAAAGGGAAAGGAGGGGGAGAGAAGCCTTTGCAAGTCAGGAATATCTATTAATCTTATAAAAGCATTTTCCCCTGGAATATTTGTTGATCCCCTTGCAAGCCTTTGCAATCCCTGCGTACCTATATATCTGTATCTATCTATATACATGAATTTTATATATGATTTTCACTTCATATGTTTGCAACTCTGCAAATCCTATATACATATAGATATCTAGGGAAATCCATGTACCTGTACCTGTATCTATATGTATACATTATTTTTATATATGAATTTTCCTCTCACATGTTTGCAAGTCTCTGCAAAACCTATATAGATATAGATATCAATAAATATATAGAGGTACCTATATATCTGTATATCTCTGTGTGTATGTATACGTGTATAAATATAAATAATTTTATATTCATTTTTCCCTGACTTGTTTGCAAGTCTGCAAATCCTATATAGATATTGATAAATATATAGAGGTATCTAAATATCTGTATATCTCTCTGTGTGTATGTTTATGTGTATATATATATAAATAATTTTATATATGACTTTTCTCTCAAATGTTTGCAAGTTTTGGAAATCCTATATAGATATAATTATCTATATAGAGAGAGATGTCTAGATATGCATATAGATAAATAGGGCATGCAAATATTTCAGGGAGAATACACACACAAATATATATAAAGTCTAGATAGATATGAATATAGCTATATAGTACTTGCAAATATTGCTAGGGAAATGCACACACACATAAAGAGAGAGATGTTTAAATCATTCTAAACATAGATATATAGGGCTTGTAAATATTGCAGGAGGGAAATGCACATATATAGAGAGAGGATTTGCAAACGTTTTAGGGGGATATGTATGTATATGTGTGTATATATAAAAATCATTTTATATATGAAATTTCCCCTCACATGTTTACAAGTCTTTGCAAATCTTGCAATCGAAGAGAACAGAAATAATTTTCCTGTTGTTGATCTTGAGATATACAAAACTGATTGGGCCTTTTGTTTGGTGGCATGCAGGAAGAAGTGGCGAAAAACCTCCTGGCTGAGTTTAATTTGGGATGTGATGCCCACCAAACTGAACATGTGTACCGAGTCTATGTGGCCACCTTTCTCGGCTTTGGAGGAAATGCTGCCCGGCAGAGATACGCAGACAGCATATTTACCAACACAGTGTTTAGAAACAGGTAACCTTCTATGACTGACTTCCAGTTCCAAGTGTTTGCACTTTTTATGAGTAGAACAGTAAATCTTACCTTCTGAAATAGGTGTATTTTTACCCAAATTTCCCATTATTTAGATATTGTGTTGGACAGCTACCAAAGGGCTCTCTCACACTGAGGCCTCTCTCACACTGAAGCCAGCTAACACTGAGGCCTTCTCATACTAAGGCCTACTAACACAGAGACCTCTCACAGAATGAGAGCGAACTAACACTGAGGCTTTCTCATACTGAGGCCTACTAACACACTTAGGCCCTTCACCCACAGAGACCTCTCACAGACTGAGGGCAAACTTAACACTGAGGCCTTCTCATACTGAGACCTACTAACACACTGAGGCCCTTCACCCACAGAGACCTCTCACAGACTGAGGGCGAACTAACACTGAGGCCTTCTCATACTGAGACCTACTAACACTGAGGTCCTTCACCTACAGAGACCTCTCACAGACTGAGGGTGAACTAACACTGAGGCCTTCTCACACCAAAGCCTCGCACAGACTGAGGCTTCTAAGCTACAGGCACACCTGCTTATATAGAACTACAGCTTTTGCTGAGTCATTCCATCCATTTAACCCTTTCAGTGCTTGACTCACATTTTTATAATTAAAAATACCTAGTTAATTTTAAATATTTCTGACACATGTGTAGAACATTAAATCTTACCTTCTGAAATAGGTGTATTTTATCCAACTTTCCCATTATGTAGATACTGTGTTGGACAGCTACCATAGGGCTCTCTCACACTGAGGTGAACACTGAGGCCTTCTCTTACTGAAGCCTACTAACACACTTAGGCCCTTCACCCACAGAGATTTCTCACAGACTGAGGGCAAACGAACACTGAGGCTTTCTCGTACTGAGGCCTACTAACACACTTAGGCCCTTCTCCCACAGAGACCTCTCACAGACTGAGGGCGAACTAACACCGAAGCTTTCTCATACTGAAGCCTACTTAGGCCCTTGACTCACAGAGACCTTTCACAGACTGAGGGCGAACTAACGGCTTTGTCATACTGAGGACTACTAACACACTTAGGCCCTTCACCCACAGAGACCTCTCGCAGACTGAGCGTGAACTGACACTGAGGCTTTCTCATACTGAGGCCTACTAACACACTTAGGCCCTTCTCCCGCAGAGAACTCTCACAGACTGAGGATGAACTGAGACTTTCTCATACTGAGGCCTACTAACACACTTAGGCCCTTCACCCACAGAGACATCTCACAGACTGAGGGCGAACTAACACTGAGGCTTTGTCATACTGAGGCCTACTAACACACTTAGGCCCTTCTCCCACAGAGAACTCTCACAGACTGAGGATGAACTAACACTGAGGCCTTCTCATACTGAGGCCTACTAACACACTTAGGCCCTTCTCCCACAGAGACCTCTCACAGACTGAGGGCGAACTAACACTGAGGCTTTCTCATACTGAGGCCTACTAACACATTGACACTTATGTATAGAACAGCTACCATACTTGCTGGGGATTTTTTTTGTCTGGGAATCCTGAGTAGGGGGTAGGACTCGATGTCCATGAGACCACGTCCCACTCTTGTGATTGTATGCCTTATTGGGGCGAAGTCTGAAACAGATTAATGAAAATATAATTGTGCCAGGAATAAAGCAGCAGACACCAACAGCAAAAATATTAACAGAATAGTCATAATGTTGTTTTGGGAAATGCTGGACAGTGATCTTTTTGTTGTTGTTAACTATTGACGTTGTGTGATGGCGTCCCAATGTTGAATGGAGTAACTTTCCTCGGTCTTGCTTCCAGGCTCTTTGGCAAACAGGCCGGCATGACTTCGGACACCCCCTATTTGGACCCTTGCCTGCCCCTAGACGTTGAGGATGAAATCCAGCAGAATGGGCAGACAATGTACCTCCGGGGGACGGGAGACTTCCATCTCTGCCAGGATGTTATTCAGCCGTTCATGAACAAGACAAATGAGACACATACTTCCTTGAACGGCATCTATCAGCCCCCGGTGCACTTTGAGAACAGCGAGTTCTATGGGTTTTCTGAATTCTATTACTGTACTGAGGATGTGTTGAGGATGGGAGGAGACTACAATGCTACGAAATTCACTAAAGCTGCACAGGTAAACATGCATAGAGCATACAGCTAGATTAGTCCTAAGCCTTTCTGTGAAGCTTATCATTTCCTCTCTGTTTGACTCTTTCACAAAATGATTGATTATGAAGGTAAAATTTAGGGCATTGATCCTTGTATATCATCATGAATACACATTCATAGGTCCTCCTGGTGGCACAGCGGGTTAAACCGCTGAGCTGCTGAACTTGCTGACCGAAAGGTTGGCAGTTTGAATCCAGGCAGCGGGGTGAGCTTCCGCTATTAGGCTCAGCTTCTGCCAACCTATTTATTTATTTACATCATTTTTATCCCGCCCAGTTCAGCCCGAAGGCAACTCAGGGCAGCGTACAGACCGGCAACAATTACCGTATATACTCGAGTATAAGCCGACCCGAATATAAGCCGAGGCACCTAATTTTACCACAAAAAACTGGGAAAATTGATTGACTCAAGTATAAGCCGAGGGTGGGAAATGCAGCAGCTATTGGTAAATTTCAAAATAAAAATAGATACCAATAAAATTACATTAATTGGGGCATCAAGAGGTTAAATGCTTTTAAATATTTAAGATAAGACTGCCCAACTCTGATGAAATCATTCTGACCTTCTTCGATGTAAATGTGCTTGTGTATCCTTCCAATAAAAATAAATAGATTAAAATAATAAAGGTAATAATAATAATAATAGAGTAATATAATGGAAATGTAATATTAACAACAATAATAAATAGATAAAATAGTAAAATAATAAATGTAATAACAACAATAAAGTAAAATAATAAATGTAATAATAATAATAATAATAATAATAATAATAATAATGCAGTTATGTATTTATAACAGAGTAAAATAATAAATAACCTTGACTTGAGTATCAGCCGAGGGGGACTTTTTCAGCCTTAAAAAAAGGTCTGAAAAACTACGCTTATACTCGAGTATATACAGTAGATGCCGTATATATATACATACATATCTCAGTTAAAAGCAATTAAATCACATCACAAATACATATAAAAACCATAGAAACAATAGAAACTATAAAAATCTATTAAAAACAATATCTTCCGGTTCAATTCCTCATCTGTTTACATCATCCGTGTTCATATTCCTATTTGACTTGCCATTATATGCTAATCAAGGTGGTCAGATGAAACATTCACACCTAGCTCCAACAGACAAGAGCCCTTTGTCCCACCCTGGTCATTCCACAGATATATAAACCCTTTTTCCTAGTTCCAACAGACCTCACTACCTCTGAGGATGCTTGCCATAGATGCAGGCGAAACGTCAGGAGAGAATGCCTCTAGACCATGGCCATATAGCCTGAAAAAACTTACAACAACTCAATAAGTGTTTACTTTCGACACATTAAGAAACTGCCAGATATGGTGCCCTTCACACGCGGCAAGCTTCAAATGTGGGGCAGAGGCAGGCATGTAGCCAGGGGAGGGGCTTGGGGGGCTTCCCCCCCCCCCCCCCGAAATTCTCATGGTGGTCTGATCACGCTGAAGTTCCAAATGTTTGCTCAAAGAGCCAAGTTTTCAATATATTCCAAAAGGTCAGGAGGGAGGGGGCCAATCTAATATTCTTGGGCAAAGAGTTGCACAGCCGAGGGGTCACCACTGAGAAGGCCCTGTTTCATGTCCCCACCAAATGTGCCTGTGAGGCAGGCGGGATCGAGAGCAGGGCCTCCCCAGACAATTTTAACTTCTTAGAAGGTTCATAGGGAGAGATGTGTTTGGATAGATAAGCTGGGCAAGAACTATTTAGGGCTTTATAGGCTAAAGCCAGAACTTTGAATTGTGCCCGTAGCAAACTGGCAGCCAGTGGAGCTGGTGCAACAGTGGGGTTGTATTCTTCCTGAGCTCAGCTCCTGTTGTTTGAACCTAGCAGTTCGAAAACATGCATATCTGAGTAGATGAATAGGTACCACTTCTTTGGGAAGGTAACGGCATTCCTTGCAATCATGCTGGCCCCAGACCTTGGAGGTGTCTACGGACAACACCAGCTCTTCAGCTTAGAAATGGAGATGAGCAGCACCCCACAGAGTTGGAATCGACTAGACTTAATATTGAGGGAAAAACTTTACCTTCACAACACGTTCATAGATATATAATATTTGCATCCTTTATGTTTCTTTCCCAGGATTACTGTGCAACAAAGTGGTCAGTTTTGAGGGAACGGTTTGATCGTGGTCTTTACGCATCACATGCAGATCTTCATCGCTTGAAGTGAGTGTTGTCTTCTGTAGCTACATCTGTTCAGGCATCCTTGCCAGATGGGCAGAAGGTTCACAATCGAATTGCATTAGCCATGTATTAAAGGATGTTCAGAAGTATTTGATCTTGTCTGAATACTTTGTTGGGCGAATGGGCTTCTTAACAAAAGACCCTCCTCATAAATGTACAGCAGAGTAACTTATGAGCAGCAGCATGACCCAGCACCAGGAGCCCAAAGTGATCGACCAATGTTATATCTTCCAAAGGAAGCTTTTCTTTATAACAAAATAATATGCTTGCAATATTTACAAGAACAAGAGTTCCATAACACATACAAAGTGCTTTATACTTCCTTCTTTGCTTCCACGCTCGGCTTCTTTCTCATGCAGATAAATAGCTTCCTCCCATGGAGCCTCTTCTTACACTGAAGTTACACAAGAGCTTCACACAGTAGCTTTTTACACACAGCAGACTTCACACACAATGGGGCTTCTCTCACCAAAGCTTCTCACACACCAGGCCTACTAACACTGAGACCTTTCTCCCACTGAGGCCTTTTCAAACACTGAGGGCTCTCTCAGACTGACACCTTTCTCCCACTGAGGCACAAAATTTTTGCACAAAATGACCTCAGATGCACTTTATTTTATGGTTCGTGCAATTAAGATACCTAGCTGACCGCATCTCGGCCTATGAACCCACCCGAACTTTGAGATCTTCCGGGGAGGCCCTGCTCTCGATCCCACCAGCCTCTCAAGCATGGTTGGCGGGGACGAGAGATAGGGCCTTCTCGGTGGTGGCTCCTCGGCTGTGGAACGCCCTTCCTGTAGATGTTAGGCTGGCACCATCTCTCATGACATTCCGTAGAAAGTTGAAGACCTGGATGTTTGTGCAGGCGTTTGAGTAATTCAGTGCAATTCTGGCAATTTGAACATAGGAACGGAACAATGACGTCGAATCTGGATCACGCTTGGATGATGAGGCGATCTGGGGTGGGTTTTGTGATTACGGTATATTGATGTTTGCCTATTAGCTAGTAATGGAAATGTGTAATTTAACTGTTGTGGTATATTAATTATGGCTGTTTTTATTGTCTTTGTTGTTTGCTATCTGGAAACCGCTGTGAGTCGCCCTCGGGCTTGAGATACAGCGGTATACAAGAATAGTAAATAAATAAATAAATAAAATCCTTCCTCATCCCCAGATCCTCCTCCCCGATAATTTACATAAAATTTTTATCTTTGAATTTGGCCCCGCCCAGTGAAATCTTTTGTGTTTTAATGTGTGATTTTATCTTGATGTGTTGCTTATTATATTGGTTTTGCATTTTATGTATTTTATTTTCTGGTTTTGTTATGCTTTTGTGTTATATTGTGTGCACTTTATTGATGGCCGTGGCCTCATTTAAGCTGCACCGAGTCCCCCTGAGGAGATGGAGCGGGGTATAAATAAAGTTTTGTTGTTGTTGTTGTTGTTGAAGGCTTGTTGTAGGTTTTTTTGGGCTATATGACCATGTTCTAGAGTCATTCTCTCCTGATGTTTCGCCTGCATCTATGGCAAGCATCTTCAGAGGTTACTTAGGTGATCCCTCGTTTTCCGAGGATGATTG